CAAGTCCTCCTGAGTGCAAAATCTAGTTAACAGTCAAGCAGTCGCGTGGGCTTGATTACATTTTATTTCCCTGCCTGAATGTCTCCTACCAGCCCACCTCAGGCATGGGTAAAGCCTATATATTCCACTGCCTGGATTGCCTTTTGTTGCTTTTCTGATTCAGTCAGGGGCAGGAAATCCAGATTCACATCCTGGGCTCACCACAAGTTACAGTACTGTACAATAATTTCTTTGATATTCTTTTGTGCTGTCTCATCCCTTCTGCTGGCTCAGAGGCTGCCTCCACTTTTCTTTCCTTGGATATTTCCTTGCCACCCAGAAGTGTCCCTCTGCTGTCTGACCTTCTCAGTATTTCCTCAGGACCTCTGGAAGCTTTGCCCAAAGTCCCCTACTCTGTCTCCGGATCACTGAAACAGACAATGTACTCTACCAGTGCAACAGACTGAGAATAAACTGTTCATTCCTTTTCTCTCCTTGTGGCTATTCCCTGGTACAGAATTCTCATCCAGCCAGAGTTCTTTCACTTTTCTCATGTGCATGGCCTTCTGAACCCAGTATCTTCACTGCTTAATACCGAGTATTTTTTCAGTTCCTATACCCCTATATTCCTCTCAGTAAATTCTGAACCTATTGGAAAAGATCTGGGTGTTTCAGGGTTACAAGTAGCCTATTAGAGGCACTTTGACCTTGCTTGTACAACCATTCAGTTAATGATCTCTAAACCACACATTCTGCTCCTCTCTAATAGGCTAGTGCATGAGTTTTCCAAGATAGAGACTGGCTTGTGGAAACTGGAAGGTTCACCTCTGACTCTTAGCTTGATTCCCCCAAATCATTCGCAGATTTGGGTGAGTTTCCCAAACCCAAGTTAGAGAGTGAATGGATGTTTAAGGATATGTGTGTGAAGGGGAACACAAGTGTTTTCTACTTTGCTAGGCCTGACTAAAAGAAAATTTGATTAACAATAGAAAAAATATAGCCTTATAGCAACTGATTCAGTTCTTAAAAGCATGTATACTTTCTTGTTACACAGAATACTTGGGGGTTGCAATGAAAAAAACACAAGTCAGGAGCTCTGCTTCTGCAATGGGTGTTTCCTACCTCTCCGTGGGATGGACACAAAACATCCTCCAACCTTTCCTGCAGCCTTCCTCCAATGGAAGAACCAGTTGAGTTGAAGGAAAACTTCAAACTTGAGCCAAGAAGTGGAGATGTAAACGTAATTAGCTTTGCTCAGTGTAGCAGCAGGATCCCCCCTCCTGTGTTCTTTAGCACCAAACATCACCTGAGAAACTACACCAGTGGGTTGGAGGACCAGTGGGTTGGAGCAGAACAGGATGCAGCATGTGGTATGCAGTTTAAGGAAGAAATCCAGAGACTGTGACCCCACCACACGCTTTTATCACTTATGGTAGGGTTACTTTGGATCCAACCTACCAGACAAGATCCTTCCCATAGGAAATGAGTTAAACATGGATATAAAAACCTCAGCTGCATACCAATTACCACTACTTTCTGTGAGTAACCAATACTTCTGTGCAATCTGATTTTTACTCCTGAGGAAGTCAATCTAATATTTAGGGAATCTTTAATCAGTATCAGATTTGGATTAATCCAATGGATTGTGTAGCAGAAAACTTTGTTAGAAAGAAATTCTAGTTGGTCATTATTCTGTGTCCAAAGGTAACTGGATTGGATTATTCTGTGTCTCATGACCCGATTTAGGGATGGCACCTTGCAAAAAGGTTTAATATTCCTTGTGTCAAAATTTTTAAATAAAAGCAATTTCAAAGTTGCTTTTAGCATGCACAGGGATTTTTCAGATGGATCCTACCTGAACAAACTAGGTAAATAATACTACTAAAATGGAAGAGTAGTTTATGCATCACAGACTCACCTTCCACCTATTTCCATGCCAGAATAAATATAATCTCTCTGACTTTATAAAGACACAGCTATGGGAAAACCTTACAGACTGTCAAAGATTTTGTAACTATTTTTTAAAGTAGTTAAATCTTGTTGACAGTTTGTCAAGAGATAAAAGAAACATAGGCAGCTCACTATATTTTCACTAGCAACCAGTTTCTTAAATTATTTTTGGCTAAATGCAAATAATTTAGTTTCTCCTATCTGACAATGGGAGGACTTTGCTGCTGCAATCCATACCACTGCCTTCTACTGCAAACACTAAAAACAAGATCACAAGTAGCGAGGAATAGTTTTACAGCAAAAGAACACATACAAGAATAAAATGGAACTTAAAAATGGTATCCTCCTTTTGACTTTCAGATGAAGGCCGGCGATTTTTTATACCAGCTTTCCAAGATAAATCCACAAAATTTACTAGCCCACCTGAGCAGATATGCCCATTTTTCAGTTGTGGCTTGTTGATCACCTAGAACAAAAGTTGTTCATATACACCACCTGCCCTCTATGATTGTTGCAAAGATTACAAGAGAATGTCCATGAAGCAGTTTGAATTAGTGGAAGTGCAATATAAGTGATGTGAAAGTGCTTTGTCAGTGCTTAAGAGGTGCTAGTGTTTCTAGGAACAGGAAGGAACTATACAAGTTTATTTCTCCTCAAATTGTCCTTCATATACCCTACACACAGAACACAAATAAAAGCAATTTACCTTCTGCGAAGAGTTCTGATGTCACTAATATAAAAGCAAAAAAACAGCTTCTGTAAGCCATCCTGAGCACCAAAAGGCGAGTTTGCATTCTTCCAGTTGCTGCCACTTAGCTCAGCTTCTGCTGGAATTCCTGTTAATTATTTATAGGCCAAACCTCTGCATAAGCTTGCTCAAGTTACTCCTTTAACTAATAAATTATGTGTCTACATCTGAGCTCTACTAAGCAATAGGACTGCTCATGCATTTGTTCATGTAGGAATGAATGTGGAGGTAGGAGGAGGATAGTGCTTGTTGGCCACACCCCTTACCTTCAACCATTCACCAGAATCTCTCAACAGGGCCTACCAATGGATGTGTACACACATGTGTTCTCTTCATGCATTAGATAATCAGTTACAAATTATACATTCACAGGTTCAAGTGATTACTTAAACAATGGGGAAAGGGGCAGCACAAATTTTCTCTTTTAACTTAAATAAATAAATAAATCTCATGGCAGCTTCTTTGATTTCCCTGCCACTTTATCCTCACCAGCGTTCCCTCTAAGCTGAGTTAGTGTGAGCTAGCTCAGTTTTTTAGCCTCTGGCTCACACATTTTTGTCTTAGCTCAGGAAGGATGGCTCTAGAGCAAATTAATTTACGCAGTAGCCAAATTGCTCACTCACAACTTTAAGGCCAGTAGCTCACAAAGTAGAATTTTTGCTCACAAGACTCCACAGCTTACAGGGAGCATTGATCCTCACATGACAAATCTGTGAGCTAGACTGAGTGACTGGGCTATCAAGTGATATTTGTGACTGAAAAGATATCAGATAGCCCAACTTTGTTCGTTTGTTTTTTCTCTTAAGGGATTTGAATTGCCTTGATTTAATCAATGCCTTGGTCTGGTAGATAAAATTCCTGGATAACACAACTTGTAACCATTTGATCCATGACAACCCTTGATGTGAGGAAAACTACCAAGATAGAAAGGACTAAGGTGAGACACATGGGTGGTTACAGTACTAGGGCTGCCAGCTTTAAATTCTAGTTTTACAAGAACTGGGACTCCCAGTGTACACCAGTTGACAAAGGCAAACACTGAGTATATCGCCATTACAAGCACTTAAACAGGAAAACATCCAGAATTCTTTTCTTTTGTGTAATGTTTATAAATTATATAATCAAATAAACAATAAAGTATCTAAGCGATTTCAGGGTAATTATTATAGCCTCAGGTTTAAAAATTCTTACAATCACAGAAGCTCATGGCAATAATTTCTGCTATTCACAACATACAATTCACAACTACACAAGGACACAATAGTTTGAAGGGACTATTTCAAGCAACACATCCTTTACAAGTTAAAGAAACAGTTCCAAAATAGTTCAGTTCCCGCAACAAATGTTGCATAAATATACAAACTAGAAACTCACTCCCAAAAAGTATACAAATTTCAGCATAAGAATTAAATCACCTGTAACATGGAGCGGTTTCTTTTGCAATCTGAATCCTGTGCAGACTACGTGTCTCCTAGGTAAGCTGTGCGTTTTGACAAACTTCTTCAAGTTGCACAGAAAGATGAGAAGAGATTGGATTTATACCCCACCCTTCACTCGGGAGTCTCAGAGCGGTTTACAGTCTCCATTCCCTTCCCCTACCCACAACAGACTCTGAAGTAGGTGAGGCTGACACAGCTCTTTTTAGAACTGCTCTTGAGAAAACAGCTGAGAGAACTTGTGACTGACCCAAGGTCACACCAGCAGCTGCATGTGGAGGAGTGGGGAATCAAACCTGGTTCTTCTAGATTAGAGACCGTGCTCATAACTACTACACCACACTGGCTCTCATATTTCAGAAGGCACTCATATCGGAACCTGATTCTCATAAAACATGATTGTACTCGTAAAGCTTAACACGTCCTTCAATAGGGATGACTAGGTTAAGAATTTTTAAATCTGAGACTATAATAATCACCCTGAAATTGCTTAGATATTTTATTGTTTATTTAATTATACCTTTAAATTCTAGGCATTAAAGATGCAGACCTTGGAGAGGGTGACAGAGGCTGAGCTAGGTTCCAGCATTACAAGTTTGACAACCAAGAAGAAATCTGAAAATGGTAGATTTGACAAAATAGCTACCAGCAGAACAGTTAGTTATTTTAGAATAAGTAATGTAAAAACTCAGATACAAGAGCATATGTGTACAATTGAGCACTGCTGACTTTAGTCAGCTGAAAGCAAATGACCTTATGCAGTATTTCTAAAGAGTGCAGCAGCTATGTAATCATATTTACCATTAATACAAAGTGATTCTCTTCCTAAAAACTGGTGATTTAAAATTAATGGTATTACTTTCTGTTGGCAACATCAAGACCTACACTGTCTGACCTAGATGTGTCCAGGGCATAAATCACAGTGGCCAGATCTTTTCTGCCCAGGACAAGCTAGTTCGTTAAGCAGTTGATGCTGGTGAAAGGCAGTCCTGGCCACAGCTTATCCAACAGCAGGCCTGGGACCAAGAGTACCCTTCAAGAGGAATGCTACCCCATTCAGAACAGGTAACGCCTTAAATTCCAGGTCAGACCTTCTGCTCACCAGTAGCACTTCCATCCTGTGGGACTGAGCTTCAGTTTATTAGCCCTTATCCACTCCAAAACTTCACATTACAGTATCCACTACAGTTCGCCTATAGCCTTCCATTAGTGTGTCCATCAGCAGAATACCACTAAATGCTCCTTGCCTTCTACTATTTGAAAAAGACTCCCCAAAAACACAGGAAGGTAACATACAACTTCAATTGTGCAGCTCACACATCTCTCTAGAATGACCCTAGTTTTCATGTTAGAGAGTACATTTGCCAAATTTAAAAATGTGGTGACAAATCTGTTGCCTGATGCTGAAGGATCAGAGACAAAGTCAGACATCTGAAAACAGGCTGCAGATAATTTTCTTTCTTTCTGGTGAGTATCTGTGTGTGTGTGCCTGTGTAATGTGCCTGGAAGTCATGGTTGATTTCTGGAGACCTCTAGTGGGGTTTGGACATTTTCAGAGAGATGGCTTGATATTGCCTGCCTCTGTGTCCTGGCCCTGGTATTCCTTGGAGGTTGCCCTTCCAAGTACTTGCCAGGGTTGGCCCTGCTTAGCTTGCCTGGGCTATCCAGGTCAGGGCACTGCAGATAGTTTCCAGCACCATATAGAAGTATATATTAGAAAAGTTAAGGGTTTGAGTTCATTCTATGGGTCATGGCCCATTTGGGGATGCCAAAGTAGCATCTGAAACCCTGCTAAAGCTTTAGGAGGCAAGCACTAAACTCTAAGAAGTTTTTTTCTACAACAGGCAGCCCAGTTTGTAAGAATGGCTATTGCAGGCATGTTGTCCACTTTGTTAACCTCATGTACATATGAAGCTGCCTTATACTAAAGCAGATCATTGGTCCACCAAGGTCATTCTCTGTTTACTCTGGCGGCGTTTCTCCAGCATCTCAGGCAGAGAAAGGTCTTTCGCATCACCTACTACTTGGTGCTTTTAACTGGAGATGCTGGGGACTGAACCTGGGACCTTCTGTGTGCCGAGCAGATGCTCTACCATTGAACCACACCCCTTCCCAAAAGGGCTCAATATACCCAAAGGGCTCACTATTCTCAAAAGGCTCCATATTCCCAAATAAACCACAACACACAAACTGCTTCAGCCAACAATGTATTAATGATCTTAAGAGCTTTGCATAGTACTGCATGCAACAGCAATCTAAAAAAGGATACTGTATACAATATTTGTTAATTTTTGTAAGAAATATTAATTGAGCTTCATACAAAAAATAAAATACAACAATTATATACTTTATATACACATACATATTTAAAATTGTCATGATCACCAATGAAGTGATTTTTTAAAAAATTAGACACAGCATCAACCCATTAGTACTAAGAAATTTCAAGTGTATCCATCACCATTTGAATTGCTTGCAGAGGATCAACAATCTCTTGCATATTATCTTTTCTTAAAACCCAGTCTGGCCTCTGCCTGTGGAATGGAACAAAAATTCTATAAACATAAAGCTGAAAATGTTAAGAGCAACTTTAGATCGTAAGAGTTTAATCGCCTTACCTAGAAATTATTTTTGTTCTTACAGGAGTGACCAGGACAGAGCAGTGACCACTTCGGAATGCACTTGTCCTCTGCTTGACAAGCGTTCTTTGGGCATCCATTCGATGTTTACGAGAGGTAAGTTTATACAAGCTTTGAAGGCGGGCAATCACTCGAGGGATGCTTCTCATCTCCTAAAAAGCAAGCCACCATTTCATTGTAGAAAGAAACAAATGTAAAACCCTAAGAATGCTTTATTAAATGAAACTCAAAAGCAGTGGTTTTTATGAAGTACTTTTTGAATTTCTCTCTCTAGACTATACTAATAAACAGGATGCTTACCTGTAACTGGTGATCTTTGAGTGGTCATTTGTGCATTCACACCCATGGGATCTAGTGCGCACACGCTGGATCAATCGGCATTGTAGCAAGCTCTTTAATGGATTTTCATGCCCAGACCTCGGGCATGCGCAGGAACCCCACCACGCATGCCCAGAGGGGAGGGCGCGGACATCCCGCCAGTTCCTTCAAACCGCCGCAAATCAACCCCTATGGAAAATGTAGAAGCTGACAGCAGCAGGGAAGGAGGACAGGTGATGTGAATGCACAGATGACCACTCGAAGATCACTAGTTACAGGTAAGCAACCTGTTTATCTTCGATGTGGTCTCTGTGCTTCACACCCATGGGAGATTAGTGAGCAGTGGCCTACCTGGAGGAGGGTGCTGGCAGGTCCTTACTGCGTAGCCGAAGATAGAATGTGACGTCCCATGTTGGTATTAGAGTTCTTATGGACGTCTAGGGCGTAGTGCCTTATGAAGGTGTTAGGCGTGGCCCACATAGCGACTTTGCAAATGTCCGTCAGGGGAACTCCCTGGAGGAAGGCAGTGGAAGCTGCAACAGCTCGGGTTGAATGGGCCCTGATAGGACCGGGCAATGGCCAGGTAGCAGAGGCGGATGAGCCCCGCAATCCACTTTGAGAGGCGCTGAGCCGTGATGTGAGTCCCCAGCCTTGCTGGTGCATAGGAGACGAACAGTTGGGAGTCACGTCTCGTTGGGCGGGTTCTGCTCAGGTAGAACAGGAGTGCATGCTTCAAGTCCAAGGTGTGTAATAATTTGTCCTCCGCTGATGTTGGATTTGGAAAGAAGTCAGGGAGGAAGACCTCTGCCTGTAGGTGGAATTCTGACACTACCTTCGGCAGGAACGAGATGTCAGGTACAAGGCGGACACCATCTGGCAAAAAGGACAAGTAAGGCGTGTCATGTCTGAAAGCCAGTATTTCTCCAACTCGCCTCACAGAGATGACAGCAACCAGAAAGGCCGTCTTCCATGACAGGAATTTTAGGTCGCAAGTTGCGAGTGGCTCAAAGGGTTCCCTCATGAGCTGACGAAGAACTAGAGGAAGGTCCCAGGGAACGACAGGAGTTTTGATGGGAGGATATAGGTGCAACAGTCCCTTCAAAAAACGTTTTGAAAGCGGATGCGAAAACAGTGTGCATCCATCAACTTGAACATGGTAGGCCGAAAGCACAGCCAAATAAACTCTTAACGAGGAGTGAGAAAGTCCCGAGTCAGCGAGGGACAGGAGGAATTCGGAAACTTTCTTGAGACCCACAGAGGTGGCTCGAGGGGCATCGTCACCCTGGGAGGAACAGAACCTTTGCCATTTGTAATGGTAGGACTTTCGCGTAGTAGGCTTTCTGGCGTTTAGCAAAACCTTTGCTACGCGGATGGAAAAGCTGTTGACGCTATTCTCCAGGCAGCTATTCTCCAGGCAGTCAACTTCATCCTTGGCATGTCGTGGTACAGGAGAGGGGAGTCGGACAGGAAGAGGAGGTCCTGTGCCGGAGGAAATTGGTGGTAGACCCCTGCTGATAATTCGAGGATGGTTGAGAATTATGGCTGCCTTGGCCA